CACATCAGTTTTTCCAAAAGTCACGTCAATAATTCTAAGAGCCACGTCAGCAACTTTCGCTATCCAAAAACATGCACTCCATCAGCCTCTCCGAATTTTCGCTTTCCCAAAAAAAAAAAAATTTTAAATTAAAATTATTATTATTTTTTTAACTTTTCCTAAACGGCTATATTTCTAACGGGTATATTCGTAACGGCTACATTTTTCATCTTATATAATGAATACATATTTCCTCATTTGAAAATCATCACTACATTCATCTCTCTCCATTGTAGCAAAATATCACTATCCATCTTTTTCAATTTTGAAATTCCAATGGCTTCGTCATCACAAGTTTTTCCTTTGGCAGACTCTAATTATTCATCTTCCTCGTCATCTTCTTCGGAAGATGACCCTATTGGCAGTTGATTCAACAGGATCAAAACGAATTCTATGAGATTATGAATTCAGTGAGGCCGATATAGTTGAGCAGGTATTTCAAGTCCGTAAAAAGAAGCAGCACATTCATCGTGACCGAGAGGGAAGCCACTATCAGCTAATGAAAGACTAGTTCGACGAAAATTGCACATATCTACCGGAGTACTTTCATAGGCGATTTAGGATTCGACGAGAACTTTTTCTTCGTATCCTTAATGATATCAAAGCTTATGATAACTACTTTTGTCCAAAAAAAAAAATGCGACTAGTCGCCTGGGGTTGTCTTCTATATAGAAGATGACAACTGTTGTTTGTATACTTGAATATGGTTGTGCAGCCGATCACTATGATGAGTATATTAAAATCGGCGAGAGCCTGCTATTAAATGCTTAAAAGCATTTTGTAATGCTATTGTTGTTGTGTATGCAGATGAATATATGTGCCCACCCAACGAAACCGACATAGCACGGTTGCTTGAAGAAGAGGAGCAGAGAGGATTTTCGGGTATGCTTGATTCTATCGACTGTATGCCCTAGGAGTGGAAGAATTACCCAGTGGAGTGGCACGGCACACATAGGGGACGCTCTGGTAAGAATACTCTCATATTGGAAGCAGTTGTCTCACAAGATTTTGTGGATCTAGCATGCATTCTTTGGAATACTGGGTTTACACAATGATATAAATGTGTTAGATTATTCCCCAATATTCAACGGTATCGTCAATAGCCAATTAACCTCTGGTTAATTATGTAGTGAATGAACATCACTATAGAATGGGGTATTACCTGTCTGATGGTATATACCCTAAGTAGGCAACTTTGATGCAAACCATCCCGCACCCAACCACTGGAAAAGAAAAATTGTTTGCTCAGCGACAAGAGGCATGCGGGAAAGATGTGGAACCGGCTTTTGGGGTATTGCTGATCAAGTTTACAATAACAGAAGGACCAGTGTGTTACTGGGAGAAAAATGACTTGCGTCTTATAATGAAAACGTGCGTTATCCTTCATAATATGATCATTGAAGATGAGCGCCACGCAAATGTTGAAAGATCTGTCACTGGAGGATGCAATCCCGATTCCCACTTTAAATCGATGCCCATCGGTTTTAGCGGCACACATATTCTCTCGCCAACTTCAGATTCGCAACATAGAGAATTTGTGGAACTGCTATGGTAATGAAGATGTTTAATTTTTGTTGCATTTTGTTTACTTTTAAGATATTATGACATTTCGTGTACTAGAATTTTTATTATGTAATGGTTTTTTAAGATTAGAAATAATGAATTGGAATAAGAAAATAAGGATTACAAAATCCTATAGGAATAAGTAGATGAATTTATAATTTTAATTATTTTTTTTTATAAAAAGTTTTAATTTATATATATATATAAAAATTATAGCCGTTAAGGCACTATTTGTGTCAACCAAACAGTGCCTTAACGACCAAATGTATTGTTTGTGGTACACATTTAAAATTTAAAGCAAAAAAATAAAAAACAAATTTAAAAAAAAAAGCTTTTTTAATTTATTTTTTGCCCAAACAAATTTTTTTTTTTTTTTTTTTTTTTTTTGACAAACAGTGCCTAAACAATATATATTTTATTTATTGAATTTTTTTTTATTTTTTTTTACAACAAAGAGCTCAAACTAACCTATTTTTTGGTTTTTTTTTTTTTTAAAAAATTTTGCCAAACAGTGCCTCAACTGTTTAGCCACTTTTCTAGGAGCGTTAAAATAAAACAAAAAAGGCAACTGAAGACGTCGTTAGTTTTCAACAAAATATATATATATATATATATATTCAACGATTGCGGGCCGGCTCGCTATATTCAGCGAGCCAACCCGCGAGGCAAAATGGGCCCCACAATTTTTAGCTAGGTTGTTGTTCAGTCAAAGGGCCTAACACTCGCAGAATTTGGGCTTCCACGAGCCCACTGCACATGCTCTAAGGCCCCGTTAATAAAAAAGTCTCTTAATTTTTTATTTCTTTATATATTATAACTTTCTTAAAATAATTATGTTAATTATTAAACATTGTCAAGTAGAGGGATTTGACAGTAACCTAAAAGATTTCTATTGTTTATCACCTTCTTTCTTTTTTTAGGTGCCCCAAAATTTTTTTCCTTATATATTATAAGTTACCTAAAAATTTTATTTTCTTCTATTATTAAACCTCAGTCAATAGAGAAATTTAATTTTAGGCCAAAAATATTTCTATATTTATATTATTTTTTTTCTCCCTCTCTCATATTTTTCTATATTTTTTTTTTGAAACTTTTTATATTTTTTTAAGACACCTATTAACTTTTATTTTCTCTTTTTTTCTTATTCCTCACATAATTTTTCCCCTACCATTATAATTTTTTATTTATTTTTCATCTTCTCTACTCCTGTAATTTACAACCCCACTCTCTTACACGACTTTGAATGAACTTTTATTCTATTAAAGAATTTTTGGGAGTATTGTACCAAATTCTTCGAAATCAGTTTCTATTGTTCTATAACTTCAATTAGTTTATAGTTTTATTAAATTTTGTTATCATAAAATTATTTATTTTGTTTGTGAGTTGTCATCATTTTAATTTACATTGTTGAATATATCTTCTAGAAAGTATATAGTCAATTAGCTAACGATAGAACTAGAGATTGAAATTTTTTTTAGTAATACCCTAAAAATTCACAAAATAAATAATGAGCATATTACTAGCATAAACATATAGGTAGACTCTATTAAAAGACCATTTTATTTTTTTTCGCCTAAAACCTCAAATTATATTGAGCCGCCCCAGATAAAAAGCTAAGGTTAGTTTCATCATTTACAATAGTTGATATTTTACATTAAAAATTAATGTTTTATTGAAGGGCAAATAAGACATTTCACATTATTTTAGGCGGTGTTTGGATCTCACATTTGACAAGGGGGTGTCATTGTTAAAAAATGAGCTAATCTGATAGGATCGTCAATAAGGGAAACTTCATGGTTATCTCTATAATTTACCCAAAAAAAACTATTGCTTATGTTACTTTGTTGCATTTATTTTGGATGAATTAATCAAGTTTGTTTAAGAGGTGGCCGGGTATTATAGGGGTCTTGCCCCATATTGAATCTGGATGAGAAAGTGATTGGATTTGCATGAGTAAGGTGTTAGCACCAACTAATAGCTTAAACTTTTAGGTTAGGCCGCGAAGCACTCAACTCATTTCAGTTGGTATTAGAGTCGACCCAGTCCTTGATCTGTTGTCATGTCAAGTAGACCTGTCAAAGGGTCGGATTCGGATCAGCCAGATCCGGTCCGAATCCGATAAACATTTAATTGATCCGATCCGATCCAATAATTCGACGAATTTTTTGCAAGTAAATCCATATCCGATTTGTTAACAAACAAATATCAGATTCGATGATCCGATCTGAAGAAAGTGTAATTTTTTTTTATATACTCCCTCCGTCCCAAAATAAATGTCGCCTTTAGTATTTGTGACTCACATTGTTGTGAGTCACAAATACCAAAGGTGACACTTAATTCGGGACGAAGGGAGTATAAGAAAAGAAAAGAAATTAATGTCAAAAGATAATAAAAACAATGATTAGAAAAAAGGGGAAAAAATCATTTACCCTTTGTTAATGAATAAATATTATAGCATTATTAATATGTATATTAGGAGATTTATTAGTATCGAATAAGAACACCACACTATTGTTCATATAACATTATGATTACTTCTTCTTCTTCTTTTTTCTTTTTTTTTTTCTTTTTGTTACATCTAATATAAATCTTATAGGAGTATTGTACATATATAATATAAAATATTATTTTATATATATATATATATAATCGGATCGAATTATTATCGGATCAGATCAGCATAAATTCATATCCAATTTGTTAAGGAATGAGATTAACGAATTTAAATCATAATCGGTTTATCGGATTTTTTTTTTAATCCATATCCGAATATGAATTCGATTCATTAACCGGTCTAATGTCAAGCGCCCAGACTCGGGAGGTGCCAGGTCCAGGGCGAATAAATAGGGTGACCCGACCACAACAAGAACATTGATGAGTTGGATGTTAGTATCTTCTAATAACTTAATATATTGGGTTGGACCGAAAAGCACTCTGGCCCGCACGCTTATACCACATCAAGGATCAAGCTGCTGGTGCGATCATACTGTGAATTAAGCAAGTATACCCCAATACTCGTGAATATGTAAGATCTGATCTTTGAAGCACCCTCATTGTTCAACATTTTCTAACCTTCAAGAAAAGCCCATGGGTTGTTTGCAAAATTCAAAGTGAATAAATTTTGTGGGCCACAAAATTTCTTGTTCCAATTCTTCACATTATGCAAAATTTCTTGTCAAAATTCTTCACATTATGAAATCGCAGCAATTCAAGAAACGACCAGCCCATGGATTATTTAGAAAAAATCTCAAAAGCGTATGGACTTTTGTGTATTGAAAATTCCAAGTCGAAAGCCGCCTCCTATGTCAACAAAATTCTTCACCACACACTCCCACCTTCCCATTCACAAAATTTCTTCTCACAATTCTTCACATTACGAATCGTAGCACCAATTCAAGTAGACGACAGCAACACACCATTTATTCATAAAAAATAAGGAGAGATTGATCTCTTACCATCTCTAAACTAACACTGAATCCAAAAAGAATTTCCTTATGGAAATTATGTGGAAACGATGGTAAGTGTCGTCAGAAATACAAAAACTATATACGCTTAAATATACAACTCTCCCCATGTTCCTCCTTGGTGCAATCCTTCGCAATCAAAAGTAGGGGCCGGAAGAAGCATATACATATATTCAGGATACTTTCAACCAAAATATGAATTTATCACCGCAAAGCATTAACGAAAGCCATTAATGAATCAACATCCCTTCTCTCGGAGGGGTACTTGATGGGCCTGGAAGAGTGTTTTGGGAAGAAAAGTATTGTGGGGAAGCTCCCCAGCTGCAGCTCTCTCTGTGCAAATTCCTTCTGATCGCCATCAGCCCTGAACTTCCCCACCTTTACCCCTGTACCTGCTAGCTTCTCGGCCAACTCAACATACGATCCCTCCATTGCCTGCTTAAAATATAGGGGAAAAAACTAAAAATAGTTAGAAACCATTGACCTCGATGCCTTCTGTGTGCATCAAATTACACATATTTTGAAGAGGGAAAAAATTTACCTGGCAGAAGCGGCACCAGGGTGCATAAAGCACAACGAGCCAAGGTTCACTTCGGTCCTCTAATCTAGCCAAATTGTCTATACCATTTCTACTCAAGGCAATCAAATTCTGGCTGTTAAAGATGTCAGTGACAGTGGCAGACCCATTTGTGTCAGCAGAACCATTTCCATTGCCATTGAGTTGTGCCGCTTCATCTTGTTTGATATTTCCTTTGTGAAGGCCACATTCCTTAGCCGTGGCATCTTCCCACCACCACCTTCCTTCCCTTTCATGCTGCCCAGGAAGGACTGGTCTGGTACATGGCTCACACCCGATAGAGATGTATCCTTGAGAATGCAAGGAGTTGACTGGCACATTCATGGCTCGTAGGAAGTTCCATATATCTTGGCCTTCCACATTAGCCACTGGATTCCACTTGACCAAGCTGCCAACTCCACCCTCCATGCCTTCAAAGACGGGATCCACCTGCACAACAGGAATGGCTGCCCTTGTGCCTGGCGACTGATCTTTTCTTTGCCCAGTGATCCATGCCCGGAGGCCTTTAAGGGCCCTCCTTAGGGGCCTGACCTTCCTAACTCTGCAGCACTCTTGGTGCCCATCTTCATAAAAAGAGAAGAGTCCCTTACTCCTTACGAGTGCTTGAACCTCAACGGCATCAGGGAACATGTACTCGATGTGAATGCCATAATGCTTTTCGACTTTGTCAAAGAACTGGTATGTCTCTGGATTTAACCTCCCAGTATCCAGGCTGAACACCCTAAAGGGCCTACCAGTAAGTCGTGCATATTCAATCAGGGCCACATCCTCAGCTCCACTGCACAAATTAAAATCAACAAAAAATCAATTATGATAATTTCATCATTCTAGTGCACCAACTAAAAGGATTTTGTAACTAGTAAGTGGGAGTAATATTGATGAGCCATCTTCATTATAATTACGTTCATGTCATACTAATGAACCTACACTAGCTAGCCAGGGAAAGCTCGATGGTCCAAACATGGGAAATTACTAGGTTCAAGACCAGGTAAATAGAACAATTGGCCTAGGACTTCAGTTGTGGGATGACTGACTACCATGAGAAAACTAGTTCACAAAATTTAATAATGGGAATGAGAAAATTTCAATCCAAAATTTGGTGAAATTAAACAGAACAAAATGGAAAATGATTCATACAACCATTACTCTAACAGCCAGCCAGGTTGTGACACCAAATGAATAGGTGCAAGGCGCAGATGAATAATATATATTAGTAGAGGAAATTATGAATGCAGAAGAAATTTTTTGCCCCCCACTTGTGGATTAAAAGCAAGACAAAACTCAAAATAGTTGTTCTTAAATGCATTGTGTGTAGCATATGAAACCATAGAATGGATCATATGATAATTTCAACAAAAAATCAATTATGATAATTTCATCATTCTAGTGCACCAACTAAAAGGATTTTGTAACTAGTAAGTGGGAGTAATATTGATGAGCCATCTTCATTATAATTACGTTCATGTCATACTAATGAACCTACACTAGCTAGCCAGGGAAAGCTCGATGGTCCAAACATGGGAAATTACTAGGTTCAAGACCAGGTAAATAGAACAATTGGCCTAGGACTTCAGTTGTGGGATGACTGACTACTATGAGAAAACTAGTTCACAAAATTTAATAATGGGAATGAGAAAATTTCAATCCAAAATTTGGTGAAATTAAACAGAACAAAATGGAAAATGATTCATACAACCATTACTCTAACAGCCAGCCAGGTTGTGACACCAAATGAATAGGTGCAAGGCGCAGATGAATAATATATATTAGTAGAGGAAATTATGAATGCAGAAGAAATTTTTTGCCCCCCACTTGTGGATTAAAAGCAAGACAAAACTCAAAATAGTTGTTCTTAAATGCATTGTGTGTAGCATATGAAACCATAGAATGGATCACAAAAAGAAATTTTTTTTTTTTTTTTTTTTTTTTTTTTTTTCATAGTTGGTACTCTCGCGCACACAAACGTCTCTACTGAGACTTGAACCTCTAACCTTCCTTTGGGAAGTAAGAGGCGGTTACCGATATGCCACTGGCCCATTGGTAAAGAATTGTTAGCCAATTAAGGCAAGTTCCAAGGACATCACTGGTGTTTAAAGAAAAAAATCTAAGCTTTTAAAAGTAGGCATAAAACAGAAAATCACGATTAATAAATTCACTTCTGCAAATTCTGGCCCTATCTTGTTCTAAAGGGTGAATACCTCCGATAAAAACCCGTATCTTTACAAGTACGCCGAGAAGTACATGAATATGCAGTGTGTAAAATGTCATCACTTTATTTACAGGTGCATTCACATATCACAGCCCTTGGGATCACCTAAAATTTTGTGTGCACATGACCTAGAATATAAATGCTGTTTGTCTCCCAACTTCACCACCATTTATAGATCACTCATTACTTTAATGCTTTTAATGAAAAGAAGAAAATGCTACAAAGTTCTCTTTAGTGTTCAATCAGTCCATTTTAAAAATAAAAAATTAAAAAAAAAAATCAGCAACTTACAGTTAGCAGACAATACTTCAAATATAAAAAAGAACGTGAAAGTAAAAGATTCCATCTAGCTTAGCTGGAAATGTCATTGATGGTAAAATTAGTACAAAATCGGTTGAGCCCTTTTGGGAGGGGTTTTTAAAGTTAAAGCAATTCACTCACGAACCCTGCCTCCATGAGGCTCGATCTCTTGACCTTCCTTTGGGAAGTAGGCGTCTTGTATCTCAAGGGCACTGACCCATTGATAAAACATAATGTGAATCTTGAATCTAAATTACTAAACCTATATTTATAACTATACTTGTTAAACAGTAAGTGAATTTAAATCCTTCAAACATAATGTTGAACTTGAATTTAAATTAAGAACCTATATTTATAACTTGTTAAATAATTGAATCTAAATCAATAACCTATATTTCTAGATCCTTCAATTCAAATGGAGCCTAAAAGTATACACAAATATAGAGAGAAGAACATAATATACCTGAAAGCAATGGCAATGTCATTCCCAAATTTTTCTAGGGCTTTGTCCATAATTTCGAGTGGGGAAGCATTTTCTAACTCCTTAGCCAGTTTCTCATAATCTTCCGTTTCCTTTTCTATTTTCTCACCGACCTCTGCAAATAACTCAATAAACAAATAAACAAATCAGTGACTACAAAACTTTTACACTCTAAAAAAATTCAAAAAATCTAAGAATAACAGGAAGCATACCAGGAGGAGCAACCAGGGTTGAAGCTAAGGGCACAAATGAATCACTTCTCTTCGATTCCGCACAAACCGGTTTCACTAGGCATCGTCGCTGGTGGCAATTGGCGGCCGGAGACTGAACCACCGGTTGATTCACCGGTCGGAATGAGCCAATCCATGGAGCTGAACACAGAAACAACAGAATCAGATCGAAATTCATCAATTATGACAAAAAAAAAAAATGTGGCATAAACAGCAAAAAATATATGTGTGTGTGTGTGAATATTGAAAAGAGGAGAGAGAAAGAAATAGAACCTTTGAGGTCGTTTGATGAGATTGAATGCGAGGGAATGGAACTGTGAAAGACAGAAGAAGAGGAAGAAGTGAATGCCATTAGAAAAGGGTGTATGAGAATTGTGTGTTGTGATTGTGCAGAGTTTGAGGGTGAGGTTATGAAGCTGTGTGGTCGCTAGATCTCTGTGGTATATATAGAAGAACACTCTTCCACAGAAAACGAAGACAGATTTATAATTGGCCAAGAGAGGACGGAATTCATGGTTCATTGAACCTGGACGCTATTCCGTCCGCGTCCTAATCCTATTCAGATTCCACGTGCCCGAATTGCAGTGAATGAGGTTTGCGTGGCTGGGCTTATGCGTATCTGATTGCCTGAGAAGCCACAATTACAAGAAAATAGAGCAGACGTCAAACAGACGTCGTTGTTGAAATCAATCCACTTGTTTACGCCGCCATGCCGGTAATTTGAATGTGCCAAATCGACACAATTTGAAACCGGACTATTTTTTTTTTTTTTTTTATTGAATTTGAAAAATAATTTATACACTAATTAGGGTTGGGTTTGAATGTGTGTGATTTGAACTTAAATTTTAACATGTTTTATATATTAATACTTTGATATATATGTAAACAAATAAATCAATAAATACTTTAATATATAATGTTTATTTATAATTTTTGCTCCCCTTAATAATTTCCTGATCCATCCTTGGTTAGCAAAATTAATTTATAAGTATCCATGCTTACCTTACTTGTTAATTAATTAATTTTTATTTATTTGATGTAGTCGAGTATTAATCACAATCACTAACATTGCATCCGCTAGCATTAAGGATAAAAACATTTAAGCTAAACAAATTACCTAGACAAATACGTCTGAGAGACATTTTCCTTAATTTATCAACAATTTTGAATAACTTTCTGATCAACCCAAGTGAAATACTACTAGAAAATAGTTCTTCCCCAGATTCGGTGAAAGCAACCTAGAAAGCATAATTAAGACATTACCACTCATATTGAGAGGCCACAAATTATTCAAATAACAATTGCAACCCTTATTTTTGCTCTCCACATAATTCTACTCCGTATTAATCATCCTTGAAGGTACCTTCTTAGTATATTCTCCCAATAAACGACGTCCTAAAGTGTCCGACAGGTTGTAATTCTTCTTCAAAAATTGGTTGTATCTAGGATTTATTTCGTAGACAAGAAAATTTAGTCTGGTGTTCTATGCTTCTACCTACCTTAGGATAGCCGGTATACTGGCTAGCAACGTATATGTAATATGTGGCTTGCTAGCAACAGTGTTGTTATAGATTTTTTTAAGGTATGGCTTATTACTATTTTTTTTGTTTCTCATATATATATATATATATATTGCATTTTCTCATATATTTGTTGACACATTTTAGAGAAAAAAATTTTAGAAGGCAAACAAATAAAAATCAAACATATCTTTTCAAAAATAAAAATATAATAATTAAAATTATAAATATTTTTTTCACATTTTGTAGCCCATAAAATTATTATTATTATTATTATTTAATTGACATAGCAGTTGCAAGTTAAAAGAAGAAGAAGAAAGAGAGCTTTTGTAAAGTTAAAAATAGAGTTATTAGCAAATTGTTGACAATTAGTTACATGTGGAACCCGTTCATGGCTAGCAACAAGTATGTTACCTTTGGCCAGTGGAATTGCTAGCTTTGTCATGGGACCCGCCTTTTGCTCTCCTCACACTATTACAAATCCTAACAATACTAAGGCTCCGTTTAGAAAGTGTAAAGTGATGTAATGTACTGCTCTAGTGTAGAATAGAATAAGTGTTTTGTAGTGTGATATTCTGAAATGAGAACAAAACATGTTTGGTGTTCCAAGTTTGTTCTACCGAATCATGGAACAAAAATATGGTAGAACATGTTTGGCAATGTATATTATTCTAAGAACAGTGAGAACAAAATATGTTTGGTGTTCCAAAGTGTAACTAAAATTAATTTGATAAATAAAATAATTAAATATGTTGGATTAAAAATTTTTTTAAATAATATTTTCTTCAATACATTTTTGCTAACTTTATTAATTATAAAGTTAGAAAAAATGATTGTATTATTTTAACATATTGTTCCTCCATTTATCTTAATTTATTATAAAAACCATTAAAATAAATTAAAAATTCCAAATATGGAACTGAAATAAAGTTTCAATATATCATAGTTTCATGAATTTTAATATATTACATACATGAGTATCAAAAATATTACAGCATTCGTCAACAATGCCAATAAAAGTTCATGGAATAAAATTAAACTTTCAATATTACATCATTTCTCAACAGCCACAATAATAAACAACAACAACATGAGCAAAAACAACAAAAATATAGTTATAGTAAGACAACAACAACAATGTAGTTTTGCCGATTTTGTTGAGTTACATCCTCCAACTCTTCCTGCACATGACCACCCACTTGCAGACGTTGGTGCATGTCATCCAACCATATAATTTTTCAAACATTGTCAGCATTGTCAGCAAACATTGTCAGCATTGATATCCATCTAATTACATAGTTTTGTCCACTAATTAAGAATGGTAACTTTTTTCAAGTATCAACTAAACAATTCGACTAAAAATAGACCAATAAATATATTCATATGATTTCACGTGTCATTTTTTCGATCCCTGTTAGTCACCTTTCATTCACATTGATTTGTTGGTAATATTTTACGTTTTAGAGCCAAACAGCACTTAAATCTTGGAAGTTACATTATGACAGATAAGGATCGAAAGAGTTCATTAGCAAAAGGAAATTCTTGAAATTTTGAAATGATATCATATGATAGTTGGAAAGAGAATATCTCCTTATGTAGATATACTGAAATTTCAATTCAAACCAACAATATAGATAAACAAACAGTGTTATGGCCAACATCCATATATATATATATCAACTCTTCCTGCACACAGGATCATTGACCACAAAGATACATCAATTTAACAAAAAAATGCACACAGTGGCTATGCCTATATATAATTAATTATATATCTATATCTATATATATGTATATATATATATCTATGTATATACAATGCACACAGGATCTAACAGTGTCACCAGGTTGCAATCAAAACCCTTTCCTTCAGTCCACTGTGAATTTTTTGAACATTCCACCACAAAATCCCCATTACTGAACATTTTAATTGACAGACAAATTACAAAATCAAAGCAAGTTAGAAGCTTGATATAAGAGGCTTGGCAGTTTGATGGTCCGGCGAAGCCACAGTGCACCATAAATAGAGATACAAGAGAGCATTCCTCAACAAATCAGGTAACAAGGTCTTCATAATTAATTTTTTTTTTCAAGCAAACAAAAAATTAACTCATTTGGTGTCGACGATGAAGGTAAATAGACCGAGAATCGCCTATGAATCCGAGAGTGCAGAGAGCAGCGGCGAAGCTTGGTTCGCCGGAAAACGCAGAGGTCACAAAGGGGAAGTTTATCTTCAGATCTGCATACACAGTGGTACACCGACAAGCCCGATCTTGATTACACATGTGACTAAATTAAGGATAAAAACATTTAAGCTAAACAAATTACCTAGACAAATACATATGAGAGACATTTTCCTTAATTTATCAACAATTTTGAATAACTTTCTGATCAACCCAAGTGAAATACTACTAGAAAATAGTTCTTCCCCAGATTCGGTGAAAGTAACCTAGAAAGCATAATTAAGACATTACCACTCATATTGAGAGGCCACAAATTATTCAAATAACAATTGCAACCCTTATTTTTGCTCTCCACATAATTCTACTCCGTATTAATCATCCTTGAAGGTACCTTCTTAGTATATTCTCCCAATAAACGACGTCCTAAAGTGTCCGACAGGTTGTAATTCTTCTTCAAAAATTGGTTGTATCTAGGATTTATTTCGCAGACAAGAAAATCTAGTCTGGTGTTCTATGCTTCTACCTACCTTAGGGTAGCCGGTATACTGGCTAGCAACGTACATGTAATATGTGGCTTGCTGGCAACAGTGTTGTTATAGATTTTTTTAAGGTATGGCTTATTACTATTTTTTTTGTTTCTCATATATATATATATATATATATATATATATATATATATATATATATTGCATTTTCTCATATATTTGTTGACACATTTTAAAGAAAAAAATTTTAGAAGGCAAACAAATAAAAATCAAACATATCTTTTCAAAAATAAAAATATAATAATTAAAATTATAAATATTTTTTTCACATTTTGTAGCCCATAAAATTATTATTATTATTATTATTTAATTGACATAGCAGTTGCAAGTTAAAAGAAGAAGAAGAAAGAGAGCTTTTGTAAAGTTAAAAATAGAGTTATTAGCAAATTGTTGACAATTAGTTACATGTGGAACCCGTTCATGGCAAGCAACAAGTATGTTACCTTTGGCCAGTGGTATTGCTAGCTTTGTCATGGGACCCGCCTTTTGCTATCCTCACACTATTACAAATCCTAGCAATACTAACTACCTAGGAAAAATTGCTCCTATATCTCATGCTCTTAGTGACGCACTCTTTAGTCCATGTACAATGAAACTAACTTATATTTTGCCGGTTCTAAATTATTTGTTCATCTTAAAAATGTAAGGTAGTCAATTATTTTAAAACTGAGAAAATACCTATTAATTTGAATAATGGAGTTCATATATATGTTATCTAGTTAGGCGTCATATTTCTCTCACATCAAATTTAGATGGAAAGAGTTAAAGACATATAAGATTGGATATTAATATCACCTAATTGTTTGAGTTTTTGAGTCGGGCAAAATACTCAGCCCGTAACGTAAGGACTTTGTGATGACGATGCAATAATTAGACTTACGGAAATTGAAAAATATATTAAATAATTCATTTGATTTATCACATGTTTTAAAGAGTTGTTTCAATTTAATAATTAAATTAGAGAGTTTATGACTATTCTTATGCGAGAATTAGCATTACTCATTAATAAATAATCGGCACAGACTTTCCCCTCAAATTTTTTTTTAATACAAAATACTAAGAATTTTTTATATTACAATTATATACCAATAAAATTTTAGTATTATCCCTGCTAAAATTATAAAAACATTTTACTTTTGCCTCTTCTTACCCAATTTCTTGGATTCATCCTAATAATCGGACTTGACTGACACCTTTTAAATTATTCCTCC